GAACTTTGAGATTTCCTGCCTTTTTTCTTTCGGATTGGTGCCACCCCAGGAAAGGGGTTCAACTACCGTCGCCAGATGCTACCAGATTGTATCACATAGTACGGGACAGTGCCACATAATATCACAGCTCGCCCGCAACTGCACACCCTCCCCATCTAGCACAGTATGTTATAACACTGCCGCCAGCCCACACACATACTGCTGCACTTAGCTTGCACAAAGAGAGAGAGAGAGAGAGAGAGAGAGAGAGAGAGAGAGAGAGAGAGAGAGAGAGAGAGAGAGAGAGCATGTCTTGTTTTTCAGATTCGCTTGTCTTGTTATACTCTTTTGTTTTTTTCCAAAAGGGCAACGGTCTGGAGGTATTCATTGAACTGAGCGGCCCAATCTTGAATTTATTGAATTTTATTCTGATCATTATTTCCATAGTTCATGGGTGTACCAACTGAGCTAGGCTTGTTGGTTGTCTTGTTATGGTATTTCAAATGTTCAACGTTTGGGAAAAGAACATGTGATCTTTTACCAATAAGGCTATGGTGGCAGAACCACCGGTGCGTTTCCCAGCCATTTTTCTCCAATGCGGCTCCACGCACGGCGCAACTTTCAGGGGTTGGCTTCTGGAATGAAATGGCTACCGGGAGCTACAAGGAGGACCGACCCGGCTCTTTTTTTTTGGCATGCAGGGCGTTTCGTACCCCGAGAAAAGTGGCTACCGGGAGCTACAAGGAGGACCGACCCGGCTCTTTTTTTTTGGCATGCAGGGCGTTTCGTACCCCGAGAAAAGTGGCTTGGAAGTGTTGGTGGCTTAGTAAGCATAATAGATGAAGTGAGGCGGGACGAAAATCATGAAGGCAGAGTGTTTTGTGGTATACCCCACTAAATCCTTTTTTCCGTTTTTTATCTTTGGGACTGTTAATTTTCCATGGCCCGATGTGTACTTGGATTTTGACTTGATTCAATGATCAAGGAGTCAAGAACTGTAGCGGTCGTAAGACCATGTGCTTCTTTTGTGGCCGTCATTTTTTATATTTTGTTGTTGTGCGTGTGTGTTTGACGAGGAAAAAAGCCACTGTGACACTTCTGTTTGACGGACCTGCAGACCAGCACAAAATAGCGTTCAAAACTCGCGAGAGGCTTTACAAATTCATTGTAATGCCCTTCGGTCTCACAAACGCACCGGCCACCTTCCAAAGTATTATGGACAAGGTCCTCCGTGAACAAATTGGTCGATTTGTGGTTGTGTATCTCGATGGCATTCTGATTTTTAGCAAGTTAATGGAGTAGCGCATGAAGCACCTTGAGGAAGTGTTCACCATCTTGAAGAAGACACAACTCCATCTCAACTAAGAGAACTCTAAGTTTAGGAGGGACAGCGCCATCTATATTGGGCACTGGTTGTCTTTTGCAGGCCTTCAGCGTGAGCCAACCAAGGTTGAGGTCATATGCAAGTGGCCTCAACCCCCGAACGTCCGTGAGTTGCATTCTTTCCTTGGACTTGCATCATACTATCGGAAGTTTGTGCCCCGATTTTCTATCATTGCTCGCATGTTGTCTAAACTAACAAGTAAGAATGTATCTTACACATAGGATGCAGCATGTGAAACCACTTTTCAAGCCTTGAAAGAGGCCTTGGTAAGTTATCATGTGCTCCACATTGCAGATTCCAAACTCACATTCGTAGTTACTACGGATGCGAGCCAGTATGGGATTGGCGCCGTGCTGCAACAAAATGACGGTGATGATTTGCGGTCGCTCGAGTACTACAGCAAACGCATGCCCAGCGAAAAGGTAGCTACTTCCACCTACATGCGCGAGCTTTATGCTTTGCAAGAGGCATTGAACCATTGGAAACACTATCTTTTGGGATGCCACTTCAAGGTCTTCTTAGATTATGAGACCTTCAAATGGATAAAGACCTTCAAATGGATAAAAGAGCAAAGAACCTTGTCTCCTACGTCGACTCGCTGGTTCCATGAGATTGACATTTTTAACTCACACAAACTTCTCGCTCTCTATTATGGTCCGTGGGAAGTTCTAGACGTAATCGGTAATGATAACTTTGGTCCTTCATATGTAATTGTCGTGCCTCCTCATCTGCCCACGTACCCTGTCTTTCACGCGTCAAAATTGTTTATATATCGTGATGCTAAACCCTTGAATATCGTGAGAATATGATCCCTCGTGCAATCAATGGTGATCATGAGATATATAGAATTAAGAGTCATATTAGGAAGGGGCGTAACATACAATATCAGGTTCATTTTATGTACCACCCATTGGATGATCTTTACTGGATCTCTAAGAAAGAACTGTTGTGCAGTGCAGCTCACGTTGTGAAAGCAGATGAACGACAAATAACTTCCAGTGTTGTTACCAAAATTTTTGCAAAACTCACTTCCACTGAGTACTCACGGAATCTCTTTGCTATATTCGCCTACGACGCATTTGTCAGGGACTCAGAATGAGTTACTCACTCGAAGGGACCTCACTCTTTAGGGGGGGGTAGTGTAAGGACCTGCCAAACACGGACTGAGACACACAACAGATTTATGAGTTTTGCCAATTGAATGTAATACGCCTTGCTGAGTTTCCCGCTTGATGCTGAGTTTGCTAAGTCTGTGTGTGGGTGTGCTTGCTGGTATGAATGCTGGTCTGAATGCCTGTTTGAGTGCTTAACGATTTGAGTGTGTGTGTGACCCGCAAGGGTACCCGTCCGTACGGGAGGCCGAAAGGTCCGGTACTTACCTGTGGCCGTGACATTGAGGGTTGCAGCGGGGAAAACACAAGTGGTGGGGAAAGAGGCCCACGACACTTCGTGCAGTGGGAAAACACTCAAGTAGCAGGTAGGACGGTACCAGACCAAGTAGAGGTAGATGTGCCGGGTACTCGAGGCCGAGCAGTACAGGACAAAAGTTGGCATTTTTAGAGGCCCAGTAGTTGTAGGCTAGGTCTAGGCGGGTACCAGTCCTACTTGTCTGAGTCCAGGGCCTGTACGGACAATATCAGAGTCTGCAATGATGTTTCCCTCCGAAACGAAGGAGGTACTGGTTGCTTGGAGGCCGGGCGGCCTGAAAGTCACTGCCCAAGAGGCAAGCAGGCCGCTATATCTCGAGGAGGAGCAAAGTGCTCCTCATTTTTCGGTGTGCAAGCTTGGCGACACAGTGCTTGGAGCGCTGGCTGGAGCAATGCTGGCTGGAGCAGCGCTGCTGGGGAGGACAGAGCGCGCAGCTCTCCACCTTGGCTATGGTGGAGGAACACGGTTTGGAGGAGGAGGAAGACAAGGAGTCCGACTAGGAAGAGGAGAGCGCCAGACAAACTTACCTGACTATGGTGGATGCCATCTTCATCATTTTTGGTGGTCGCTGCATCTGGAAGGCCCCAGTTGGGGTAGAGCTACACCAAGAAGCTTCAAGGCAGAGTCGGGTATCGCGGCCTGAGCTAGAGCAGCCATAGCTGCTTTGTGTTGTCCTTTGCACAGCAGGGCAATGCCCTGGTAGTCCGCCAACCATTCAACATTATTATTATTATTTCTTGCTTGAATAAGAGGGGAGGAGACGAGGAGGAGGAGAGTGGTTGGTGAAGAAGAGGGAAATATCACTGGTCTTTGCTGGTGTACATCATTTTCTTCTTCTTTCTTTCTTCTTCTTCTTCTTCTCTCCCTCTCTCTCCTCTCAAGTTCATGCATTTGTTTTTGCAATCGGACGACATTGTACTTTCTCATGAATGTGTACTTCGAAATTGGCCAGGATCATAACAGAACCCTCAACAATGTGCAGAATGTCCGTATTGATGGTTTGGGTCATTGACCCTTTGACCGTGCTGAAGGCGGACTGTCCCCAAGCGAACCATAGCAGCAAGCAGCAACTCAGTGAAGTACCAGGCAATGCTGCCGAGGCAACACAGCTGCACAACGCCAAAAACAACTTCAGGGAAAGACAGTGCAAGCGGACGAGCAGCAGGGCAATCATGCAGTGAAGCACAAGGCAACATCAACAAGGCACCCAAACCACACGGCACACAAGCAACGGACACGGAAGGCACGGTATGCGGATGGGGGGCAAGGCAGCAGAGCAGCGAGGCACGGGGCAACATCCAACACCACAGCCACACCACACAGTGAACACAGCAGCTTGCAAAAAACGACATGCGAAGCAAGCTGGGCAGGCAGCAAGGCAGCGGCGGAGTGCAGACGAGGCAGTCCACACATCCAACCTGGAGCAAACCGGCACGCCACCTACTCACATCACGATTGCACCCCATGGACTGTTGGTTCCCACCACCCACTAAGCCAGGGAGTCACTTAGACGAACATCCGTCATTACCTGCAAGAAACACAGACATCCTGAACTGAGCGCCCCCCCTAAGAGTGCTGGGGTGTTACATGCTGCGCCTGCAACAGGCTACACGGGCCATTTCCAGGCCCGTGTCGTTTTCAGCCTGAAAGCCTGAAAACAAGGGCCTACAGGCCCTGTGTCGTKTTCAGCCTGAAAGCCTGAAARCAAGGGCYTACAGGCCCTGTGTCGTTTCRGCCTGAAAGCCTGAAAACAAGGGCCTACAGGCCCTGTGTCGTTTCRGCCTAAAACAGGGCCCTCSAGGCCCTGAGCCTTTTCAGCCTGAAACGGAGGGCCATTTTTCAGGCCCTCATAAGATCGACCTGSCCTGAAACTCAGGCACCAGACCAGGGTTTTAGCACAGGCCATKTTGGGCCTGTTTTCAAGACRACCTTCGTTTGAGCTTCAACGCCAGGGTCTGGCACGTTTTGGCATTGGCAAGAGCAGCCTCCTGGACGGGCCAGCACTATATAAGACTGGCCCGCCCTGCAGGCTGCAGGTAGTTGATAGGAACTTCCCAGGCACTTCACGTGCAGTTCAGGAGGCAGGCGGTAGTCTTCAGGATTCGGCCGCAGCACTCTGGAGGAGGGCTGCAGGAGTAGTAGTAGCGCTAGCAGTAGTCTACAGCGCTGAGCGCTAGTAGCGATCGCAGTAGTCTTCAGCGCTGGGCGCTGGTAGGAGTTAGAGTAGTGTTGGAGAGAGAAAGAGAGAGATGGTTGGCGGAGGCCAGCGAGACTTACCTGTGGCGCCATAGCTCCAGCTTCATCTTCGAGGTACCTGCAACAAGGCGCCACCTTCACAGGTTAGTACCGGACACACACACACACACACACACAGAGAGAGAGAGAGAGAGAGAGAGAGAGAGAGAGAGAGAGAGAGAGAGAGAGAGAGAGAGATCTTCTTCCTCTTCTAATTCCCTCTCTTCCTCACCCTCTCGCTACCTGACTCCTCAGTATTTGCAGACTACGAGAGAGAGATTTGTGACTTTGGGACTTGACGACATTTGGATCCAGACTTGACATTGGGATTCAAACATTTGACGAGGGATTATTTGGGACCTGTACCGAAGACTTGGTGTTGGCCACATTCCCGTCTCCCCCCCTCTTCTTCGTCTGCTTCCCTCCTCTTCGTCTGTGTATGGTCTGGACCTGGCGCATTCTCCCTGTGTGTAGCGCCAGGCCCCTCACACCTTGCAACGATGATGATGTACGTTGGGTCTGCATTACGACATTGATTGGGTTGATTATTGATATCTTAGCATTCCRCTGYGCTATCTTGTAMTATGTGAGGGWGGTCGGTCCTTGCTCTGGTTTGCACCATTACGGCATTCAACAGTTTGGTATCTCCTCCTCTTCTCACATGTGTGAAGTATAATGGAATGTCATGYCARTCCCAGTCAAGTYAGGACTCATATCCAAGTCTCCCACTGTGCTACAAAGTGCCATTTTGCATGTATCAGGATGTACACTGCTTGTTGAGATTTCATTAAACATTGCATTGTCCATTTAGTCNAAGTCTCCCACTGTGCTACAAAGTGCCATTTTGCATGTATCAGGATGTACACTGCTTGTTGAGATTTCATTAAACATTGCATTGTCCATTTAGTCTTTTTCATCACTTTGCGGATCCTTGGCTCTACATACATTGCCCAACTGGGCATGTATCAATTGGTATCGGGGCACCTCATGTGAATCAGGACAACCTGATCTGACATCTGGACCTAACTGCCAAACTCGAAATTTTTTTCTTTTTCTGAAAATTTCAATGTTCGTTGTTCGTTTTGTTCAAGGGAGATTAGGAGACCTACTGAACTTGCAAATTCGGGATTTTTATTAATTTCTCGAAAATTTTTCTCTCTGCAAAAGTTCAATTTTTTTCTTTCTTTTTGATCAGTGGCTCCTTATCTGGGCGATTTATCCCACCCACCCTCCCCACCTATGTTGTTGCCCCTCTGGTCTACTCTTCTTCTTCATCTGATTCCGGGTACCCCTACTGCGAAATTGGTAAGTTGCCACGTCAGCAGGCCACGTCAGCCGACAGCCAGGCCACGTCTGCAGCCGAGCAGTGCCACGTCAGCAATAGGGGGTGCCGCGTCAGCAGCCCTTCGGCCTGGTCTATGCTTACGCGCTCACAAACATCCGCCGTGGATCAGAAGTCTGGGGAAACAGCCGCGGCCTATCAGACCCATTTGCTGGCTTGGAGTACGGAAGCCAAGCAACGGGCGGATGTAGTAGCAGCCGCAGAAAAGAAGAAGGCGGAGGACGCCAAACAGGCACGTCTGTTGGCAATCGAACAGCAGCACCAGCACGACGAGGCAGCAGCAAAGGCTGCCAATGAAGAACGAATTCAACGACGTGAGAAGATATTCAACAGAGCGCGAGCTTTGCTCACAATGGCAGCGGACTGGCGGGCCAAGGCCGAGAGTGGTAAGATGGAAGAGAGTGAAAGCAAGATCGCTCTACTCCTCTCCCATATCACGGATCTCCGGGCAACGTGCATTGCACAGCAGGAGGACATGCACAACCTCGACGCCGCAGCTTAGATGCACAAACGGGCTTTTGATCAAGTCAACAGCTGCCTCCAGCAGCTGCAGCAACGACCTGTCACCGCCCCCAATGCCAGCTCCTCCAACACCTTTGATCGCCTCAATGCATTGGAGATCGACTTCGGAGCTCTCAAGGACGACGTGCAGCTACAGCAAACCGCCACGCAACAACTGGAGCAGCGGATCTGTGCTGCCGCCGCCAACCTGAGTTCGGCACCGCGCGAGACGACTCCAAAGTTCGATGATCAGGAGATCTTCAGCAATTCGACGAAGACGGACCCGATTCCGTGGTTCCACAAGTTCGAGCTCAAGTTGCAGCTACACCACGTCAGCGAGGACAAACATCACGCATACTTGTACTCCCGATCGGGGGGCGCGTGCCAAGCATGGTTGGACAATCTCTTGTCCAAGTACGGGGTGGTAGCTGCCGACTTGTACACCAAGATCAGTTGGGATGATGTAAAGGCGGCGTGGCATAAGCTGTTCCAAGTAGCGCCGTCCGAGATCAAGGCAATGGACAAATTGATAACCTTCGAACAAGGCACGTTGCCGAGTGTTGATTGGATTGCCGAGTACCAACGCTTGACATCCGTCCTAGATATTCGAATGGGCTTCAAGACCGTCAAACACTACTTCATCACGAGGTCGTGTCCGGCATTGGGCAACGCCTTGACTCACGCCGAGGATATCCTTACGACAACGGCAGAGCTCTTTGACAAGGCCGCGCAGATTATTGTCACGAACAAGGAGGCGAAGAACCTCAACAGTTCGTCTGCGTCAGGCCCGAGCAGAGATCAGCATCGACCGAAAGTGGCCGTGGTTGCGGCGGCAACGCCAACCGACCAATCTAGCGAGGTCCTGTCTGCCAATGAAGGGGACAGACTCGCAGCCGCCCTGGATGGTGGCCGCCCCGGCAGAGGCCGAGGACACGGCAAGTGGAAGACAAACGCCACATTTATCCCCGGGCCCGACGCAACAACTTCAGCCCCATGGACCCACTACGGCCTCTCGGAGCAAGCATACAAGCAACGCACGAGATACCGCTACTGTTTGTGGTGTAACAACGATCTCCACGACACAGTGGTATACCCGTTGAAAGGCAAAGGCAAATCGGGAAACTGAGCACCGCCGGGAGTGACTCGACAACACTCTCGACCCCTTCGGAACTGGTCGCTTCGCGGGTGACCGCCCTTCGTTCCGAGGCACATGCGGAAGTCGATAGTCCTCCTCTCCTATATTCTTATGAGGACTATGCTGCCTGGGTCGTTCCTACGCTGGGTACTTATGCTCAAGGACAAGACGTGTGTGCGGCATCTTCTCCGTCCGCACGGGATTCGGCGCGCGAGTTCAACATAAAGGTCTTGGACCCGCTCACGTCGGAGGATTTCACATGGCTTCCTCTCCCGACCACGAGCCGCTTGCCGGGACCGCAATGCGCAGCATTATGCGCTCATCTTCACACGTATCTATCCTTCTATGCACCACCAACTTCGTCGACGGATGACGAAGCTGTGGTGGGGGACATCCTTGCGTATGTTACCAAGGTGGCCCGCGAGTTTCGCAAGCAGCAGTACGATGACGCACCGCTCCTCTATGTCCGCATCCAAGTTGGGCAAGTGTCCTACAACGCTTTGCTGGATAGTGGAGCGTCTCGCAATTTCATGAGCCAGCCTTTATGCAAAGGGCTGGCCGTGGCGCACAAGTTCGGAGGAAGGCAAATCTGACGGCGATCAAGTTGGCGGACGGAAGGACGCAACAACATATCGACCGCTACATCGAGGCCGTACCGGTGTATTTCGCACCTCATGCATGCGAACCGGTGACGTTCGACATTTTGGACACGGACTTCGACATTATTTTGGGAATGCCTTGGCTTGCAAGTGCGGATCACACAGTCAACTTCCACCAGCGGACTCTTACCGTTCGGAATGCCTTCGGCGCCGAAGTGTCATGTACTATTCCTCTTCCGCACCCTTCGATCTGGTGCCAAGTGGTGATGGCCAAATCGTTCCGGGCTACTTGTGCTTATGAGCAGCCTGACGAGATAGACCTATGCTTCCTACCGACCGTCGCGGTAGCCGATTCTTCTCCCACGGACTTGTTTTCGGACCCCGTGTGGTGCGATTGCTTGACGAGTTAACCGACATCTTCGAGTCACCTACCGGTGTGGTGCCGGATCGTCCGTTCTCTCACGAGATCATTCGGTTGCTTGACAAGTTCACCGACATCTTCAAGTCACCTACCGGTGTGGTGCCGGATCGGCCGTTCTCTCACGAGATTATTCTTGAGGCCGGTGTCGTGCCGCCGAAAGGCTGCATTTACCGCATGAGCAAGGAGGAGCTTACGGTCGTCGGCGCGCAACTCAATGACTTTTTGGACAAGGGATGCATCCGCCCTAGTAGCTCCCCATATGGAGCGCTAGTTCTCTTCGTACGGAAGAAGAACAAGGATCTACGTTTTGCATCGACTACCGCTAGCTCAATGCGCAATCCGTCAAGAATGCGGGACCTCTTCCTCGTAACGACGATCTTCTTTGCGCGAGGTACTTTTCTAAGTTGGATTTGAAGTCGGGATATCATCAGATTTCGATCCGGCCGAACGATTGCTATAAATCTGCGGTCAAGACACGGTATGGGCATTTTGAGTGGGTGGTCATGCCTTTTGGCCTCACCAACGCCCCGACGACCTTTCAAGCGGCAATGACCAACGAGTTCCATACGATGGTGGACCGGTTCGTGATGGTCTACTTAGACGACATTCTCGTCTATAGCCGGACATTGGAGGATCATCTAGAGCACCTTCGACGAGTGTTGGAGACGCTCTGCTTGCTAAGTACGAAGCCAACCGCGACAAGTGCGAATTTGTCCGGCAAGAGCTGGAATACTTGGGCCATTTTATCACACCGGAGTGCATCAGTCCGTTGTCGGACAAGATTCAAGCCATCCAAGAGTGGCCGGAGCCGCGGAACGTCACAGATTTCCGTTCGTTCCTTGGCCTTGCCGGCTACTACCAACGTTTATCAAGGGATACTCGAAGATCGCAGCGGCGCGGCCCACTTGACCAAGCTTCAATGCGAGGATCAGCCGTTCGACTTCAGGGGGGATGCGCGGGAATCATTTTTGGCTCTGAAAGCCGCGCTATTATCGGCAGAGGTCTTGCGCATATACGACCCGCTATGGCCAACGTGCGTCACTACGGATGCGTCCGGCTATGGCATTGGTGCCGTCCTCGAACAACACGATGGCGTGGATTGGCACCCGGTCGAGTACTGCAGCAAGAAAGTGCCCGTCGTGCACTCCATTGATGATGCACGCAAGAAGGAGCTCCTAGCCTTCATCCACGCGCTCAAGCGGTGGCGGCACTTCCTCCTTGGTCGAAGTCAATTCCGATGGGTAACGGACAACAATCCGTTGGTCTTCAACAAGACCCAAGACACCATCAATAGCACCATCGCCCGTTGGATGACCTTCATCGACCAATTCGACTTCTTTCCCGATCACATTCTGGGGAAGTCTAACCGTTTTGCGGATGCTCTTTCACGGCGTCCGGATCATTGTACCCCAGTCTATTGGACCTTTGAGATTGACGACGATCTGCGGGACAGTTTCATCCGCGGCTACCAAGCCGACCCCGAGTTTCACGACAAGTACGCGAATTGCTCCTCTCCTAGTCCGGCGCCTTCTCTCTACCGGATCCAAGAGGTGTACTTGCATGTCCACACGCGGGGGAAGGACCTTCTTTGCGTACCGAGTGACTCTCACTTGCGTATATGGCTTCTTGGCGAGTTCCACGATGCTCCTGCTACCGGACACTTCGTAGTCAATCGCACGATTGGCCGACTTCGCGAGCGATTTTGGTGGCCCGGCCTTCTCGGCGACGTCACACGCTATTACGAGTCATGCGAGGTTTGTCGATGCTGCAAATCCCGCAACCATCGTCCGTACAGCGAGTTGCGACCATTACCGGTCCCCTTGCTTCGAAGGGAAGCGATTCCATGGACATTACCGGGCCGTTTTGGCATACAACTCGTCTATCCACCCTGCTATCGGGATGTCGCCCTTCCAATTCGAGCACGGCTCGCCGGTCACTTCTCCGTTGGACACAATCATTCCACGAACGGCCGAGAGCGACGACCATCTTCTTTTCTTGCGTCGGATGCAAGAGCTACATGTCAAGGCACGCAACCAGATGGCTAAGACGCAGCAACGCATGAGCCAACAGGCCAATCGCCAGCGTCTTCCTTCTCCATTCCGCGCCGGCAATCTCGTTTGGGTTTCCGCTGCGGAGTTCAGCCTCGAACAAGATATCTCTTGCTAGCTCCTCCCGAAATGGATGGGGCCCTGGCCGATCGTGGCACCCGCTGGGGATGCACCTGAAGGACCTTCCTTCATCATTCAGGTGCCAGCCCACTTGCCGGTCTACCCGGTCTTTCATTGCTCCAAGTTGGCTCTTTACACGCCAGCGGAACATGACAATTTTCCCGGGCGACGATCGCAAGACCAACCCTCTATGGACGGTTTTCAAGAGGTTGGCGACATCATCTCCCAGCGACTCTACAGCAGCAGGCCGACCGAATACTTGGCACACTTCGCGTACTGCACCCACAAAGCTGACCGTTGGTTGACCCGTGTGGAACTCCAAGCAACGGCTCCAGATGTTCTCGCACGCTACGAACGCAAGATGCAAGGCAAGCCGGTATCTTCGTCTCCACGCTGCACCCGCGTCAAGTTTCCACTTTCAGATCGTCAGCTTCGCCCTCGACCCGGCTTGACTTCATAAGGACGGGGGGGTGTTACATGCTGCGCCTGCAACAGGCTACACGGGCCATTTCCAGGCCCGTGTCGTTTTCAGCCTGAAAGCCTGAAAACAAGGGCCTACAGG